CTGTTCTGGCTCTGCCTGACTTCAACAAAACCTTTGTTATAGAAACTGATGCAAGTGACTCTGGGATAGGAGCAGTCTTATCACAGGATAAGCATCCTATTGCGTATGTTAGCAAGGCTTTGGGTCCTCGAACCAAAGGTCTCTCCACCTATGAGAAGGAGTGTCTCTCCATCTTATTGGCTGTTGACCATTGGCGGTCCTATCTCCAGTATGCTGAATTCTTAATACTCACAGATCATAAAAGTTTAATGAATCTGACTGATCAGCGCTTGCATACCAGCTGGCAACAAAAGGCTTATACAAAGTTATTGGGTTTGAAGTTCAAAATCTATTACAAGAAAGGAATTCATAATGGGGCTGCCGATGCGTTGTCTCGGTGTGATCATGGAGAACCATTGGAAGTTGCGGCTATTTCAATCTGTAAACCCACCTGGTTAGAAGAAGTTGCCGAGGGCTATTTACATGATGCAAAGTCCGCTAAGTTGTTGGCTCAATTGTCTATACAAAATCTAGAAGACTCTCCTTACAAGTTAAAAGATGGTCTCATAAGGTACAAAGGAAGAATTTGGTTGGGACACAACTCTGCCCTTCAGAACAAAATATTTAGTGCTTTGCATGACAGCTCTATTGGCGGTCATTCAGGCTTCCCTGTGACCTATAGAAGGATCAAGACCCTCTTTGCTTGGCCCGATATGAAGAAGCAGATTAAGCTGAAGGTCAAGGAGTGTTCCATCTGTCAGCAAGCTAAGCCAGACAGGTTCAGGTATCCTGGCCTGCTGCAGCCCTTACTTGTTCCATCTGGTGCATGGCAAACGGTTACTATGGACTTCATTGAAGGGCTTCCAAAGTCCAGGAGATTTAATTGCATAATGGTGGTGGTGGACAAGTTGTCCAGGTATGCTCATTTTCTGCCCTTAGCACATCCATTCTCTGCTGCCGATGTAGCTCAATTGTACATGGAAGGGGTCTTCAAATTACATGGGTTACCTTTGGCTGTTGTCTCTGATCACGATAAGATCTTTACAAGCAACTTTTGGGAGCAATTATTTCAGAGTGTTAGCACTAAACTTCACATGAGTACAGCATACCATCCTCAGACAGATGGACAGACAGAGAGGGTGAATCAATGTCTGGAAACTTATTTGCGCTGTTTCACCCATTCTTGCCCTTCTAAGTGGTCTACATGGTTATATTTGGCCGAATATTGGTACAATACTACTTATCATTCCACCCTTGAACAAACTCCTTTTGAAGTGTTATATGGTCATACTCCAAACCAGCTAGGTATCTCTGTGAATTCTTGTGAACTCCCTGATGTGCAACAGTGGTTGTCTGAAAGGAGGTTGATGATGCAATTGCTCCAGCAGCATTTGCATCAGGCTCAGCAATATATGAAGACTCCGGCTGATAAGAAACGTAGTTTCAGATCCTTTGCTGTTGGAGACTGGGTCTATCTCAAGTTACAGCCATATGTCCAATCCTCTGTGGCTGCAAGGGCTAATCACAAGTTGAGTTTTAAATACTTTGGCCCCTATGAGGTATTGCGCAAGGTGGGAGAAGTGGCATATCAATTAGCATTATCGGAAGGAAGCGTTGTCCATCCTGTTTTCCATGTCTCTCAACTCAAGTCTGCCCAAGGCTTCAAAGGTGTTTCTTCTCCTATGATTCCTGCTCAAATGGAAACTAAGAAAGTTCCTGTTGCTGTCCTCGACACCCGAGTTCGCAAATCAGGTACTTCTGCTATACCACAAGTATTAATTCAGTGGTCTGACAGTGCTGTTTAGGAAGCCACTTGGGAAGACCTTCGCACTCGTCTTCCCAGAGCTCTGGCTTGGGGGCAAGCCAGTTTTCAAGGAGGGGGGAATGTTAAGGTGCCTGCCGCTGGTGCTCAGGGCAATGGTAGCAGGGTGCAGGAGGAAGCATCTGGAGGGAGGGGAAAAAGACTTCGTAAAGCTAATGTACGCATGAGTGGGCCGGAATGGGCTCAGTAGGTGTGTGTGCTGTTTGGCCCTTGGCTGGTCTGTAAGGGAGAGGGAGAGAGAGATATATATTTATAAGGAGGAAGCAATCTCTGTTTTGATTATCGATTAAGTAATAGAACTTGGCGACGAACGGCGGCGGCGGCAGCGGTGGAATTCGTTGGAATCCCCATTGATCTATCAGTTCCTGAGTTCGTGTGTTGATTTTCTGTTTAGCTACTTAACATATTAGTGAAAATGCAGGATGAATATCCATGGATTAGCTCCATTTCTAAACAGTATGACTGAAATCTAATTAATGGTTGAAATCAATTGACATAGTACATTTAGGACAGCAAGAAGTGGCATCAGCCATACATCAAGAATGGCAGTAGTGTGGGTCTAGCGGCAGGGGCATCATCATTAGGAGCCCACGTGGTTATGACTTAGGAGGGGGCAGGGCAGGACGGCAGTGTGAGCCAACATAGGCAGAAGAGGGGATTCGGATTAGGTAAAGTTGCTATTGTTACTGCAACTTTAGCAGTAGCACCTGATCTGACCATGCACGAAGCATCCGATGTCTACGAATTAACAACCCTTTAGTCCTCTCCATCTCCGGTGGGCTTCAAGAGTGGAGTGGTGGAGGCGGCACTGGAGCGTGGTCACCAACAAGGAGGAGGTATCAGCGGGTGAGAAGGGCTCAAGGCTAGGAGTTGCGCTGCTTAGCTACTGTTAGCTATCTGATGCTCGTGGTTAATTTGGTGGTGATTTGGACTGGTAGCTAGGTATCGAACGAGGAGGAGGCGAGGTTGGCTTGGTCTGCTCGCAGGTTAATTACTGCCTTGGCGTTTGACAGGGACTGTGCAGATTATTGCTTATTAGTATATGGGAGTTCACAGAAGAACGTAGCAAGAACAGAGGAGGAAGAAGATATACAACGATACTTTATATTGATGCGGGAGGCTTATTTGAGGATCATGAATTCATGATGAAGCACGGAAAATGGAATCTTTGACAGGTTGAACACTTTCGTAATAATGGTTTATACGAAGGTCCCGTAGTTGTCAACTTGTTGTCATGAGGTAAGAAGAAGCACAGAGCACTTCCATTGACATGGAGAAGAAAGAGGGCTCTATCGCTGGAGGAAGAAGACGACCTTTTGAGCGCTAGTTGGTGCAGTGGTGTGAGCCAGCCGTCTGATCTCTCAGAAACGGTTCAGATTGGCTACTGCCAAAGTTGCAGTCTCTATAGGGACTGCACCTGATCCCGATCCCAGAAGAGGAGATGTTGGGTGGGAAATCATCCTAGAAGTTGATGAAGAGGGACAAAGGTGAAGAGGCAGATGAGGGGGGACCGAGAAGGCGAGGTGGTGGCGACCAGAGGATCTCATCCGCGCATGTTCACCATTGATGAAGCAATGGGAGGCTGTCCGTTTTATTGGGACTGACAAAGACGATGGGATTGACTCATGACAAAGAGGATGAGGTTTAGCTTTTTTTTTTAAGATAATAGAATGAAACATCTCGGCCTTTGCTCAAAAGAACTACAGCCAATTATTACAATCTAGCACTTTAAAAGAGTGTAGTCCAAAATAAAGCGAAACACACCAAACCAAAATAGAAGAAAACCGAACAAGACAAGGAGAACATTATTCCAGCCTATTGGTGAATCTCTATCCATAATTAGAAAAAAGTTACATAACCGTCGTTTCAAGCCTACGACATGCAAACAATCAGAAACTCTCCATCTTCATCACACTTTTGTAATTGTGCCCACTGCCGAACCCAATATGTTGCCCTGAAAATTACCTGCATATAGGAAGCAGATGGTGATTTATCAAAAACCCTATCATTCCTGCTCAGCCATAGAGCCCAACATAAGGCAGAGGCTCCAATAAGTATCAGTTTACTCTTTTTCTTGTCAACCCCCAGAAGCCAATCATAAAAAATATAGGTGTTGCAAAAATCTTGGAATAATCAAGGTGTACAAGAAGAGACTAACATTTAAGAAAAAAACAGTCGTGCCTGGTGAATATAAAAACCTTATCAATGGGTCCCTGCGAGAATCTGAAAAATTCCCCAAACATAATCTATCTTTCAATTTCAAGCAATCACCGGTACTCATGATGAAACTTCTTTTTTACATTAAGCATGAAACAACTCTTTATACAATGCGCTCGTACAACTACAAAAATTGTGTGGATGAAATACCAACCCGTAGATCTCGTGGCTTGCTTGCTGATCACAGAGCTAAGTGGTCACCAACCTTCACCATTACTAGTGTAAATATATAAACTCTGTTCCTTGCCATGTTGCAATCATATTTCTAATACAGTCCATGTGCTATCATGTTACCTTATTTTCGTGATTTTAGCTGAGTGCATGTGTTGGCGCAAAAACTGGATATATTCTTTAAGTTGCTTAATGAATATGCATCATATGAAATGTTGCAAGCATACCACTTGCAGATATCAGAGATGTGAGTCTCAGATCTCACAAAAACTGGCTCCCTAAACATATCACAATTCTTTGATCTATATTTTGCAGTAGTGTAGTAAACATAAGATAAAACACATAGGTGATGAAACAAACAAGCAGAGAAGGGTCTTGTAGCTTGCTTCCTGGCAGAAGGAGCCAAGTGATCACCAAGCATATTACTATGGCAGTCCCTGTGCTATAATCTGCTCCCTTGTCACGAGCGCATGTTTTGGCGCATAAGCCGGATATTTTCATCTGCTTACTAAAATCTCTATCATCTAAGAGGTTGCGGAGGTATGTCTTTGCAGATGCAAAAGATCCGTGGAAGTAGAATGCCTTTCATTTCGATCAGTGTCCTCTTAGAAAAATATGTACTCTCGTTTAGGTTCTTGTACTGTTCCTCCGCATGCTCAATTTCAAGGCGTAACTTGCATTCCTGCTCGAATATGTTATTGGGTGCCTGTGAATACAAACTCCATGGGCACACAACCCCACTACTAGGATAGGATTGAAGGGAAGTATTAAATTTGGGTATTTACCACGCATATTGAGCATGAAGAAATAATTGATTTCCCCGCAAAAAAAAGAAGAAATAATTGATTTAATTTTAAATGAACATGCAGTCTGTCACAATAGTGGCATCTTGAATCCAATTTGGTGCATCCATGTGGCACTTCTATTTGACTAGATGATTGAGACAATTTGGATCAGATGCAAAAGATCCACTTAGTTTGGATGGTGAAACTTAAAGAAGTTTCACTAGAAGGAATAGCTATAATGGAACCCCTATAAATAAAACAAGAAGAAAAAACTAGGTATGACTGTTTTCTACTGCCTTTGAGCAGTTTGGCCTAGGAAGAGTATCTGGAGTTGGAGGAGGACATTTCCCTTATTAACCTACAGGATGGAGAAGGGGATAAGTGGAATTCTGACAAATTCACTGCTAAGAGGTTTTACAAACTTTCTTTGATATTTCTTCCCCTGTTACTCATATTGACCAATCACAATCATCTCTAATTTAATTTTTCACCTACTTTCACAATCATCTCCCTCTATTTGACGTAGAGGGAGGAGTGGAGGAGGAGAGCCCTCGGTGGCTTGGCGAGCCGTGGGCCGCCGCCTGTCACCTCCCCTTCGACGGAAGGGAGGGCGCCATCGCCTGCTGCACGCCGATGTAGAGGGAGGAGTGGAGGAGAAGATAAGGAGGACGAGTGAATTAAGACGGCATGCGCGCAGCAGCGATGCAGACGAGATAAGGAAGAGAGAGAGCGAGAGATGCCAATGACATGGGAGAGTGATATTTTCCCGGTTGGTGCTCACCAAGCGGGATTAAAGATATGATTCGGGACTAAAGTTTGTTGGGGCCTGACAACTATTGAATCAGGACTAAAAATTATCTTTAGTCCCGATAGATCAACAAGTACCCCTGGGCTTTTGAACCAGGACCGGTTCCTATTCGAACCGGGATTAATGTGGTTTTTGCATGAACCGGCAAAGATCACTTCTTAGCTATTCCTGTGAGAATCTTAAAATTCCTAAAATGCAATCTATCTATCTTTCAGCTTCACGCCATCACCACTACTGATCAAGAAACTATTTTTACAGAGTACAGATGATCAAAACATAGATGATGAAACAAGAGGCCAATCATCTAGTAGCTTTGCTTGCTGACCGGATGATACAAGTGATCACCAGTCACATTACTGGGTGTAGCCCCTGTGCTTCTCTGTTACCCTGTTACCATATCCGGTCTGTTTTCGCCAACTCCATGCTGTTTCGGTGCAGAAGCCGGATGTGTTCATCTGCTTACTGAGATATCAAGCCATTTGCAATGTTGCAAACATCTGTCTTTACAGATGGCAAGAGAGCCAAGGATGTCTATCGTTTCACTGTCCTAACTGCAGCCACCGATATGTATTCGTTCAACAGGCTCTTGTACTGTGCCTCCGTCTGCTCAAGTTCAAGGCTCAATTGTTGTTCCTGCTCGGTACAACAAATAATTAAGTTCGTCAGTGCAGTTTGATTTTAGCCAAGATGCACCTGGTGTAGTGTACTAGTGAGTAAGATTGAACAAATCACAACATAAAAAATGTCACCTTGAGCAAGAGTTCCTTCTCTGATGACTCTAATTCCGCACACCTGCATATGAAATTGTGAAACAAAAAAACAAAATGAAGTCCTGAGACTTTTAGGCCAAAAATTGTTCCATGATGGAAGTAAGGCGAGAGCTGTTGTTGGACTTACTCTTGACGGAGTAGTGTATTCTCTATCTTCAAGTAGGAAAATTCCTTCAACTCCCGTTCTCCCATATGCTGGCATATCTGTAGTATCTGTAGTCATTAGATCTCAATACAGCGCATAAACTACTGTCAGATAAAAAAGATGTGAAAATCTAATCGAAAATTAGTCTAGCTGGATAAACATTAAGTGCCAAGTAATTTGTTAGTGTAGGTTGCAATCATATATTTTTGGTGTTCAGGTGTTGTGATAAGTTTTTTTACTATTACTTTATTAATATAATGGGTAGTTCTCCTGTCTGTTTTCTTAAAAAAAATGTGTATTTTCAATATTATGGGCACAAACATAGTAATCTAGGCTAACCTGATTGCTCGAGTCCACAGAGTTGTTTCCTGCCAAATCATGTATACTCAGCCTTTTCGATCGACCATCCATCTGATCAAGAGTTTCCATTCTTCTTTTTCTTGTATCTACTAAATCAGTGCCAATTGTGATCTGCATACTTGACTGGGACTGGGAGCAAACTGCAGCAACAGCATTTGTTCCTACAGGTGAAGAGACAAGATGGGGAGCAAAGGCGATTGGAATTGCATTTGTTGGATTGTCACGGATGGCTGGAATCCTCTCTGACGATGCAGTAGCAATGGTGCCTGACAGAGTTGGCACAAGTGCAGCAGAAGCATGAGAGCCAGAAGCTGCACGGGGCAACTTATGGTATCCAACCAGATGACTGTATAGATCCCTGGAAACAGGTGAAATAGTTGAATGATGAGATATGAATTATTGAATTATTAGAAACAGGTATTGGATTTACATGAAACAAGATGGGATTTAGCAGTTGTACCAGTACTCGTTCGTCATTTCTTTCAAGCGGTTTATTAGCTTCTGGTAGAGCTGTGACTTCTCAAAGTCTTGTTTATCATGGGTGGGCTTGATGAAGTCTGCCTCTAATACCCCTGCAACACCTCTGCCTTTGCTACTTGCACTACTCAAAACTCGGTGAAAAGGCTGAAAGAGGTCATTTTGTTTTAAACAAGATAAAAAAATGTTAGGCAAAAATAGCTTGAATGTGGTTGAGTGAAAATTGATTAGTTTTGATGTTTATGCCCGTAAAGCATCTTCTCTTCTTCTTTTTTTTTTTACATAGTGAATGCAAAAGAAATCAGTAGCTCACCAATATAAGGCGATTCTTGTGGTAGATACTAAATCCGTGCAGGTTGATGTTTGGAGCACCATCTAGAAATCCTATGGTTGTATCCACCTCGTCCTAAATTGAAGAAGAAAATGGATGTAAAAGGGAAACGATTTAAACAACACAGAAGTAAATATCAATACTTTGAGAATGGAAATGTATTAGACATATTCGTTCGAAAAAAGGAATGTATTAGACATTACATGTTCACACTGTTACAGAAGTGAACAGGTAATGTGTATGCAACTCAGCAAAAGGGAATGGTTTTGTTGAAGACGAACCTCCTTTTTTCCAAAGGCCTGCGGCCTATATCTAATGCATTGGGTATATCTGAGATCAGATGCAATGTAGTGATGCTTAACTTCTTCTCCTCGGAGTATGATCCTAAAGTATGCAGGTAGTTTCAAATATAGGACAGAAGCATAGACCTGCAAAATGCTAATATATATTAGCAAAATCAATTAACTAGTATTGTGCAGAAACACTTACCATGTGATACGCACCCTAAAAGAATAGTGTAACTGATTTGCCAGATGACTTTCGTTCATTCTTTTTGCAGCATTAGTTGTTTCTGCTGCCTTTGGAGCACCACTGATCAAAATATCCTGAAATGAAAACAACAAGGAATATGGTAAACATATACAATATATAATGAAAGACACATGGAAAATAATGAGACATTTCATAGCAACTGAAAAATGATAAAGATTGTCCAAGAGATCAGGAGCTATTTAGTAATTCAACAGAAGTGAAAGAAACTTCAGAATTACGCATGTATTTTACAATTTAAAAGTTTACTGAAGTCAAATCCTTTTAGATGTTTTGCTTACCTTCTCATCGATATCAAAATCAAGCTCCAGATCACCATTGTCATTTGACCACAAATTGAAGACTACAATCTTTGTTCCATGTGGACCAATGTCACTGAACTGTAACCACATTTTAAACACCATTAGCACACTGAATTGACGATAAATTACTTACAACTACTGAAAGAAATAACAGACAAATAGTTCCATTCCAAGCTCCAAAATTTTTGAAAATTAATTTGCGAGTTTATAGTAATATAAATGTCTTCTTTCATGGTAGAAACCTAATGTAACATACATTTTGTATCAGTTGTTCTTCAGTTGCAAAAGGGGACCATTTCAACAGAACAGAGAGATTTGACGAAAACTGATCTGGACCAAGCCGCTGGTGTGGTTTAGCTTCTCCTGTCAATAGATTGTATTTGTAGTCCACCTAATGAAATAAAAAAAATGTCATCAGAATAATCACAGTAAAAGAGGTAAGTGATGGCTAAGCGCTATATATATATTTGTGTGTGTGTTGTGCCCAATTGATAAAATCAGATGGCAAAGCATACCACTGGAACAACAACATCCTTTTGATTGGTCTCGGCCAAGAAAGTGTAAGAGAGAAGACCAATGGATTGTGTAGGCTCGCTGGAATAAAAAAAAACAAGAAAGTGTAAGAAAGTAAGGGGGGAAAGGGCAACAAGTTGGTATAAGTAAAAAAAAAATATATAGGGAAATGAGACTAGCTAGACCTGCTCTTCATGCAGCGACTGAAAACAATTACATCTGCCCCTAGCCGCATTGTGCCAGTCTTGAACCCATTTCCATCTGGTCAGATCAACGAATGTCAATATACAAGATAACAATATAAGTTAAGTTTGGAGAGGATAAAAACCTGAATATATGATATAGTAGTACATACATTGTCCAATCGAAGAGCCTGACTGTTTTTCAGAGAATCCAAAGCTCATGCAACGCCTCAAGGAATCAGGATCCATGCCTCCACCATCATCTGTATGACAAACAGAAAAATGTACAGCCATTTAGTTTCATGTGGTGACATTAAGCAAATACTCAACGTTAAGCAGACACTCTAGTTCACACTAAGTCAATCAGAAAGAGATTCCCAGTGCAACATTATGCAAATTCTGTAGTTACACTAAGTCCATCAGAGAAGGTAAAGAGAATATTGATATTGGCATTTTTTTTTTACTTATGTCCATTGTCTGGATGCAATTTCAGTTGACCAAGCCATTAGACATTTGTTGCATTACTGAAATTTCAGACCATCTGTTATTACTGTCAAAATTTGCACCTATACAAAATCAAGTAAACGAATATAACATTGTCACAGTAACCAGAACCTTGAACGAGTAAAGCTGGTGATCCATTACAACCGTTAACTTTGTCCACTATAATTCTTGTTGCACCAGTTTTGATCTGTCAAAAAAAATCAATCAGATATATATCCCCAAATCATCAAATTATTGAAATGCATAATTAATAAGCTGTTTGAATCACCTCGTCGACAGCATTGTCCAATAACTCCGCCACCGCTGCAAGAATATCAAAAACATATAAAGACAGAAACAATCGTCTGATATTTCAGTTTAGGGATAGATACAAAGTATTTACCAATAGTAAGTGTACTATCCACTTACACTTCAGATAAGTGGATTTCCCATTTATAGAAGTTTAAATAAGTGGTACCCACATATTTGAGTAATTTTACAGTCCTTAAGGATGTACTATAACTTATCACGTTTTCTATTGTAAATTTAATACCTCTTGGTACCTAGGTACTATAAGGTACCAAATTTTACACTAAATTTTGGTGCCTCATAGTACCTCCTCAATGACCGTAAAATTGCTCCACATATTTGAAGTATAAATTGGTTCGTGGATTAACCACTTACACGTTTATAGCGAAAAATAATCGCTTACCTCCGAATGGCCATTTGTGGGAAGTCGCGTTGGAGTGGAGGAATTTTGGGTGGACGCACATGCGATTCTGCACATCTGCCACGAGATCGAGAGGAGCACAGGATGAGAATATAAGAATTTAAAGGCGATTAAAATTCATCCGCATCGCGGTGTATACACACGTACTTCCAGGCGGCCGCGCCGCGCCGCTGGTGTCCGCATCGTACTCGCCGGCGCTCCAGAAGCTCCTGCTGATCCTCCGTGCGGGCGCCTGACGAGCCAATAACCACGTGGCGGCGCCGCCGTCTTCTTCCTCCGGCAGTTCATCGGATTCTCGGTTCAGGACGCAGGCAGCCGCCGCCGTCTGCTGCTGCCCGGCTGCTGCTGCCGCCGCTCCTGCGCCTGCACTGCGCTGGTCCGGTGCCGCCGCCGTCATCTGGTGGTGGTGGTGGTGGTGGGGGCAAGCGCTAAGCTGGTATCCACGGTGGGCTCGCGGCGGGATGGTGGTGGTGGTGGTCGGGGACAAGAAAGGCTTCGTGTCTTGTTCCTCCGCCGCCATGGAGTTCATATTGCCGAGATCGGTAGTAGTGGGGCAGTTTGACGATTCCTGTTCTCATGACGATAGCAACTAGAGTCAGTTCAACGATGTAAATTACAAATTGCTATATATCCCTCTCTTCACAAGTATAGGCATTGTCATTGTTTCGCCTATAGCTGATTATAAGCCGTAACATTTATTAACGATAAGAAATAATTTCACTTTTATGTACATGCTAGAAAATAAAAAAAATATCAGAATCAAATCCAAAATTAAGTTTTTAAATTCAAATTTTGACTGCAGCTGATAAGCAAAAATGCAAACCAATTGAGCTATAATTATTCCAAGTGTTTTAAATTTATCCAAAAATAATGTCTATATTACTATAACTACTGTTTGTCCTGTCAATTATCTATCATTCTATTTTTTTAAGTACACTAGAGTCCTTCTCCTTAACCTTAATCTCTACTAACTGCAGGTTATCTTCTTAATTACACGATAGCTCTGTGCTTGGCTTATACTTCATAAGCCTATTTTGAAGGACTTTACTGTTGCGGCTTGTCTTCGGTTGGAGCAGGTGGCCACGGAGTTTTTTACCCCCGGCATATGAGTGGTGTTCTAGTATTCAGATAGATGACTTTTGATCAATCTTGTGTTCCCTTAGTTGTGTGTAGGGTTGTTGGTTGTGTGCACTTTCGTGGTGCAGAGGCCGCGAGTGTACTAAGACTCTTGAGTTCAATAAAGCTTCCATTATATACAAAACCTAAGGGTGTATGTGGCTAACCCACAAATCCACTTATAAGTTAAATATGGGTTAGCCATTTACACGTAAAAAATCTTTATGTGTGGTACATTGCACCTGATGTATATAATAGACAGAAATATATTTTTTGCTACTCGTTCCATCCTAAAATATAGCACCGTCTGACCGGATTAGACACATATCCTAGTTTTACAAATTAGACAGAGGTTGCATCTTATATTTTTTCAGATGAAGGTAGCAATAGATTTTTAAACATATGGTGCATGCTCTATCATGTACATTTTAGAAGGGAGAAGAAAAAGGAGGTGCCCCTTATCTAAGAGAGAACCTACACAAACTTCAAGGGATAAAGAAAGATAACCATCGATCCAGAGCGAAAGAATACTAGTAGTGTGTTGTTAATGGTACTCCTATACGAATACAAGTGATTCTAGTTATACACTGCACAAATACGAATATCCAGTATTTGTGAATAAAGATGGTATATTCTATTAGTAAGCATATATGTGATGTGGATAAAATTAGAGGTATCAATGACCACTATAACTAAACATGTTCTAATGATGGGTCTCATTTTCTTAGAACTCATGTGCAACCACCGACTATTCATGACATGTATACCATAAATCTGCTTTATAGACATTTTTGTGAATGTGGAAGGGAGAGAAGGGGAAGAGAGTCAAACCCTTAGCTTATCATCGACTCTTGTCACAAGATATAAATTTACCTTGCTGCAACTAGTTGTTGGAAGGGACAAAGGGTAAAATATTTTTTTTGGTGGTTTAATATTTAAAGCCTATGTTATCTGATGCAGAGGATTAGTCACAACATATATAACATGTTACTTAGGGCATGTGCCAGGTTTAATTGTTGAACATGCCCTTAGCAGCTCACTCACCCTCTCTCTCTCCTCACTTTTATTCTCAAGCTAGACATCCATCACACATTCCCTTTTTTATACTTATTCTCACTTGTATTGTACTTGCTACTATAATCATATGACTCGTGAACTACCGAGAAAAAAATAACTCCGCAACATCAACTTTTTTTAGGTTTAGAGGAGAGAAGGCCAAAAGAAAAAAACAGTAGGAAATTTAGCCAACCTGAACCTGAAGCCCCAGCCCAGTCTTTTTGCCCCTGGATATTAAGTTTGCATTTTATACCATACCAAAATAGACATGCTAAACAACATGCACATGATTTTTGGAGGTTACAACATGTGAATTTTCCTTACCTCCTAACTTATGACAAGATCCACTCTTTCATCCCTTCTCCACTCGCGGCAGCAACGGATCTTGATCCACTCTTTCACCCCTTCTTCTCCACTTCAGGCAATAACGCCCGTGGTGATAGAATTAAGGGCAACGAATTAGGGTTCGAGATAGGGGTAGGAAAGGTTGTTTTGGAGGAATCATAAAATGGGGAGTTCTCTAGACTTAGGGGAAGTCACCAGTGGTTGAGGCGGCTCAGTAGTGGGCCGAAGGAATAAGAAGTTCGGAGGAAGAGGGCGGCATATGCAGATCTAGTGAAAAGGAGCCATCGGAAAGGGGAAAGAAGCACAGGGCGGGGCGGGGCAGGGGCACTCGCCGGAGTGGACGCAGTAGTGGATCCGGAGCAGAGTGGTGATGTATTTGTGGGGGTGGGGGGGATGGCGGCGGGATGAAGCCAACAAGACAGAAGGCTTGCAGCCCACCTAGGTAGGATGGTGGCGGCGTACAATGTGCAAGAAAGGGTATTGGAGGCTTGGAGGCTGAGGGTAGTTGATCTATTTAATAGGGTTTGCAAGGAAGGCTGAGGGTAGTTGATCTATTTAATAGGGTTTGCAAGGAAAGATTTGGCCCATCGCTTTTCAATCCAATGGGTACAAAATCGATCGCGTGTTTTAGGGGCTAAAAACTTGCAAACGATGGTTACACAGTCCCTATATCAAAAATACAATAGGAGTCTATATGCCACGTAAAGAAGTTGGCATGTATGTACATCACGAATCAGTTTCCATCTAGGATTCAAGAAACTAACCAATATTTCTAGTTTGTATTTATTATCTCATCGCCATTAATTAATAGATAATACTAAAAAGGTTGTCCGAAACCAGTTTGAACTTGGTGAAAGGCATAAAGGTAAATGAACTTTTCCTTGAAGAAAATTAACAGCCATGATTTTTCTCTTTTTTTATTACTATATATAATATGGGAGCTCCTAACATTTTTTTTATGAATGTGAGAATTTCTTTCTTTTAAGACCACCAGTCCAAATTTCTTTAAGAGATTAAGAAGGAAGTATATAACCTACCTTTAATTTCTTATGCGACTGGCTAAATGCCCATGATTTGCTATGGATAAAGGAAAAAATACCACAGTATTTTCTAAAATAAATAAATCATATTTACCATGAAATATGTTACCCACATTTTTCCTATAGGAAAATGTGGATATCCACATTAGTTTTATATGTGGCTATTCTTTTATATTTAACTATAATAGAAAAAAGTTTAAAGGGTAATATGTAAGAATTGCAACAGGAATAGGTGGGATGGCAGATTCTCCGTCGGTATACATATGCATAAAAGACTATGATGCACCTAATCTGGAGAATGAGAAGATGGTTGAGGGTAGGACTGAGTAAAAATTAAATGAAGGGCGGTTAAGTGAGACAAAATCCATAATTTGAAACCTTGTATCCCTTATACTCCAACCACGAAACAATGAAGGTTAACATTTTGTATATCTTTTCCTTTTTTTTGCAGGATCATAAAGTAAAATAAAACAAAGGTCATGTGCATATTTGATAGAAAAAAGTACGAATTACCCCCCTCCCCCCCCCCCCAACGAACTATCGCGGTAGACCGTATTAGCCCACTGAACCTGAAAACTAGACATCGTTCACCCTAAACTTTTAATACCAGACAAATTATCCCCTCGACCCAATCCAGAATGGTTTTGTCCTACATGATGTACGCGTGACAGTCCAGTCAGCATTCTATTTATTAAAAAAATGTAGGATCCGTCTATCGTACTCCTCTTCTACTCTTCCTCTCTCTCTCACTCTTTCTCTCTCTCTTCTCTCTCTCCTCTCTCTCACTCTCTCTCTCTCTCACTCTTCCTCTCTATCTCTCGTGGGTCGGCGGCAAGCGGGCGGACATAGAGTGGTGGCGGCGGCGGCGGCCACGATGAGCAGCCGCCCCCTCGGCGCGGGGACGGACGGAGGCGGGGCGGGCATGGACGGCAGACACGGAGGCGGCACGCACCGTGCAGCGGAGACCCTCCTGCACCCCTCCTGCGCCGGAGGGAGTTCGCGGGAGCTTCCTCCTGGAGTTCGCTGCTCCCTTCTCTATGTCCCGCGACGCAGCTTCCTCCGCTTCACCCCGCCGCCGCTGCCTCCGTCCATCCCCGCGCCGAGGAGGCGGCTACTCATTGTGGCCACGGCCTCCGCCTCCGCGTCCCGCATCACTCGCCACCGCCTCCTCGTCTCCCGCCACCTCCTCGTCCCACGCTGCCGCCGCCTCCGCTTCACCTCGCCACCGCCACCTCCGCGTCCACCGCCAGCCGCCGACTCGCGAGAGAGAGTAAGGAAGAGTGAGAGAGAGAGAGAGAGAAGAGAGAGGAAGAGTGGAAGAGAAGTATGACAGGTGGGTCCCAGATTTTTTTATAAATAAAATCCTGACTGGACTGCCACGCGTACGCCACGTAAGACAAAACTGTTCTGGATTGGGTCGAGGGGGGTAATTTATCTGGTATCGAAAGTTCAGGGTGAACGATGTCTGATTTTCGGGTTTAGAGAGGTAATTCGGTCGTCCGTAATAGTTCAGGGGGTAATTCGTACTTTTTCCTATTTCATAATATGATTTTGTCATGCAGTGTTTTTTATTGAATTTTTGACATGGTACATAAGACAACACGCACATTCATGGACCAGCCGTGACACGCATCAACGAGATATGCTAGTGGAGTAGTGGGACATTTGCTTCTTTTTTTTTGGCAAGGAAAGTTTATTAGTTTGTTAAATCTAATTAGTGCACACGGCCACATGCTACTTATAGAACATTTCAAAAAAAAACATGATCTTAATCACTTTTCACACAGTAGAATTGCATCAAAATTTATGCATGGAAAATAACACAGAGAAGGTAAATTAATAGATACGGGTACATATGGTTGAAGTCTTATTTATATGATAGGTCCAGCCTCTTCCCCTGTCCCTCCCTTATGTTTAGGAGCGAGATCTGCCCAAGAACAACCCCCCCCTCCCCGTCCTGCAGCTCGCTAACACCATCCTATTCTCTGGCTCGCACAACGACCCCAACCTCGTCACCACCGAAAGGC